CCTTCAGCAGCCAGCCTGCTCAGGACATGAAGAGCCTCTGCTCACCCCACAGTGCCGGGTCTAATGCTCAGGGTGGAGCCAGGAAAGCTACGGCCAGTACCGGGCCGGTGCAGTTTTAAAAGAACAGTGGTCTGATCAAGTCGACCTCGCCAAAGGGAAGCTTGGTGCCGCATTACGGTCTTTGGAGAGAGAGCTTCCGCAGTTCTAACACACAGCAGAGTGGAGGAGCAGGCGGTGGGAGTACCGAGTTAAAAGGGGCCTGTACTATTCAGAATTGTTTCAGTAGGGGGGTAGGGCATCCTGAACAGATTTGTTTTCAAGTCAGCTGGCCGCAGTCTGCCGTCTGCAGCAGAGAACGGCAAGAGGAAAAAAAAGAGAAAAGTTCCAGAGGAAAATAGCAGCGCTGCCTGTGTGAAGTGTCTCGCGGACAAGGAACATCTGGTACCAATTCCCAGCCTTTATCACTCCCTGGCTTTCTTTCCACATGGACTCAGGGGCCGAAGCCAGTGGAGGAGCCCCACACATCGCCAGTGTGGGTTAACACCGGAGAGCTGGCTCTCCGCCACCTTCTGCTGCAGGCTGGGCTGAGCTGAGCTGCTTCCCTGCAAACACAGTCAGCTCTGAGCTCACCTGCTTTCCATTTTGCTTTATTCTGCCAAGCCTGGACCCGTTTCTTTGCTCGTTTCTGTGCAGAACCTGTTGACGGAGTGCGATAGCATGGCTGTTGTCCAGCGCTGCCTGGTGCATCAGCCAGTCTGCTCTGAGGTTCTGGGCGGGTTTGTTACAGCAGCAGACCTGTAGAGGAATGCGAGAGCATGATGCTGCAGCTCCATACATATCCCCATCGTGTGCTGTCTGTCAGCAATCTCCTGTCAGCGCAGGGAAGAGCAAGCGGAGACGCTCCCAGGCTTCAGGGCATGTCTTACCAACAGGCTGAGAAAACCAGAACTCCTGAACTCCAGAGTCCTGAACAGAGAAGACTACTGAACAGAGGAGGCCTGAACCAAATAGCAGAGCCCTTCAGAGGGCTGAAGCGTAGTCAGCCTGGGGGACTTCAGAAGCAGCAGTCGAGCATGACCCAGAGGGACCAGGTGGAAAGTACGGTGAAGTACGATTGAACCGAGAACAGCAGGCACTTCTTCACACAAAGGGCTGTGAGACTGTGAAATAAGCTCCCCGGCCTGTTTGTAGCCTGTCCTACTGTTTGTAGCCTGTCCTACTGTATGTTCCTACATCTCCTGGCAGCACAGAGCTGCTACCTCATGGCTTGAAGAACGTCTGCAGCGGTTCTGGTTCTGAGCGTGCTCACGACTCGCCTCCTTCCTCTGCTGAGCTCAGACCAGGCCTTCGCTCACTGGCTCTAATCGAACCACAGCCAGAGGTTTTATTCAAGGAGCAGAATCACTGCTGGGCACCTGTTCCCTGTCCTGTCTGCATTTACACCACTTGTATAGAAGTTTGCATTGCTGCTTCTAGCCCTAACCCACCCCAGGCACGTGTCTCCGTTCTCCATCTAACGCAATGAATAAACACGCCGCAGTGCTTCTGCAGGAGCGCAGGACTTTCACCACCGTAATCTCGCAAACCAGGCTTACTGGGCATTTTTTTGCTGTGTCATGCCAGAGGGAGAGAAGTGTGAGGAAACAACGTCTGAATTCCTTTTTCTCCCTTCTCGCATGGATGGCAGCGATGTTCCCCTTTCTCCAGCGGGTTCACAGGGCTTCGCTGGCGCTCCCTCCTGTCCGCGACACCAGCGTTGTGTCTGCTTCTACACCAGACACTGCCTGCGTGGGTGAAGTGTCGCAGCTCAGAAACGTGCAGTGATCCCTTAATCCCTGCCTGTAGGATGTTCACACTTCCTTGAATCAGCCAGCACTTCCGAACTGAATTCGGGGGGAGCGGCCCCGAACTCTCCCTGGGGTGCAGAGCTCCACACACACACACCAGCAGCGCTGTCTGCGGCTCCGGGGTGACGCATCACCAGACTCCGCACACTTTCTTTTCTAAACTTTCCACCGATTTTAGTTCCAAGGGAGGAGAAGGCACAACAGGTTCCTCTTTTCAGGCAGATTTCTCTTTCGAGCTCGTGAAGTCGTGCGTTGGCAGCCTCTTCCCAGACGCTGTGTTTTTTGGCGAATCCAGAAAAGAAAAAGAGAGGGGAAAAGAAACAAAATCGAATGTTAACATTTATGTTACACATTCCTTTCCCCCTGTTCTTCCTGCCTGACGAGCACGCGCCGGGCCTCCCTGGCACAGGCACGGAGTGGGGCGCGCACCTCAAGAGGCCCTTGTCCTCTGGAAACGTCACTTCGCTGCCCTGCGTCTGTGAAGGGATTCCAGCTGCAAATCGCTCGTCTTTGTTTCCTTTTTTCCCCTTGCGGCTCGGTTTCATACTGCCTTGCGTGTAGAAATTGCAATGGTAGCGCTGCAGCTCTTTACACAAAGGGTGGCAGAAGTTTGGAACAAGCCACCCAGCCCTATGGTTGAAACCGATACTCCGGCTACTTCCAAGGAAAGGCTTAATGAGATCCTCAGATCCACTTTTCTTGTTTGGCCTCTGTCTCGAGTGTGTTATGCGTTTGCCTCACTGTGTCACCCGCTTCCCCGAGATGAACAGCACCAGAACTCGCACGGCACGGTCTCCCAGATCTGTGTCTTTCGCTTTGCGCCACAGGCCCAACCCAGCAGCTCCTCTCTCCAGGGCCTGTGCTTTCCAGCCCTTCATTCTGTTTACTGTGGTAAATTGCCTGGCTGGTGTTCGCAGGCCGGCCCAGAATCCACGCTCCATCCGCGTGTGTTCCTGATACTCCGCTGTGCGCTGCTCCGCTTTCACCTCGAAACCCCGCCAGAACCCGGCACAAAGGAAGAGCTGACCCAGCAGCAGTGACTCTAACAGAACCTTGCCCTCCTGCGCTCGTCTGGGGGCTCCTCTTCTCCGAGAGCGGCGCTGATCAAGTCCATTCGCCGTGACGGATGGGAGAGACGAGGAAGAGGCTCGTTTTCCACTCTGTGGCCTCAACACAGCACAGCTCCTCTGCCAGCTACAGGGTACAGCCAAGTCGTGTTAACCCTCTAAATCCCCTGGCGGGCGTCCTAGATGGAAATCTGTTTCCAATCTCTAGAGCTCGTTTCTGAGTGACTTGCTGCCTAAGAAGCCGTTATCTTCCATTATCTTCCCGTGCTCTCAGACGCCTCTTTATGAAGCAGCTGGACGCTGACGGGCAGGGCGGGGATGAGCCGGGTCCAGTCGGAGATCCAGTCTGGCTCACCTCTGGCGCCTCGTTACTGCAGTTAAACCAGTAAGGAGTCAGCTTGTTACCAGTTGGATTGGGGTGCAAGCTTGTGACACGCAGCCCTGCAGGACCGGAGCTGGGCTGCCCTGCCGTGTGGGCGGTGTCGATTTAGAAGAAGAGAGCTCAGCTCCTTCGTGCTGGACAGTCCTGCTGCTCTTCTTTGTTGATTTTCGTGCCACCCTGGTGTTGCTGGGAGGTTCTGTTGCTGTTTTTGAGGACTGGGCTCATTTTCCATCCACAGGATTACAAAGTTTCTTAAAGCTCTAATGGTAAAACTAGCCACTGTATCACATCTCTTTTTAACAGAAATTAACTTCCTGTCTGTTCCTTCAAAGTTCCAGAGCACAGATGTAGTAAAATTACTAACGTTCCTGCATTTAGTGTTTGTGCGCGTGGACCAGTAACAATCTAACATACAGTAGTTGAAAGTGTCTGGACTATTAATTAATAATAATAATTAATTACACTTATATAGTGGAGCGCTTTTCTGGACACTCCACTCAAAGTGCTTTACAGGTAATGGGGATCCCCTCCACCCCCACCAGTGTGCAGCCCCACCTGGATTGATAAAAGCCAATGGGAAATTTGGACAGGACACCTCTTTTCGAGAAACACCCCGGGATTTTTAATGTGAGAGATTCAGGATCGCTATACTGGGGCATCGGGACCCACACAGACCGCAGGGTGAGCGCCCCCTACTGGCCCCACTAACACCTCTTCCAGCAGCAGCCTTAGCTCTCCCAGGAGTCTCCCATCCAGGTGCTGGGCTGCCAGGTGGGAGTGGCAGGGTGCCATAGCTGCTGGCCACATTGTTCTTACAAATCCAGAGGAAGCCTCCCTCTCTGGAGGCAGCTCGCCCCTGACTTTCTGCCCGCGCTTTTCCAGCTGGATCGGAGTGTGCTGGCGACGACATCGCTCCTGCTCTCCTTGGCATCCTGCACGTGTGAGAGACGAGGGGTTAGCCGTCTTCTTCAGGAGGGTGTCTTTAGTGGCCATTTATTCTCAAAAAGGACGGAATAAAAAACATTTAGGTATTGAAATGAATAAAAGTCATTTACAAGCCTGCATTGGGACGGACAGATCCATTTTTCCCCTCTGTGGGCAAACTGCCCTGTCCTCTTAGTGAATTAGCTGGGCAGGTTGCCCACAGTGGAAAATCAGACCCAAGCCTTTTAAATGTTTGTCAGAAGTAAAGTACAACAAGAGGAGCCTTTGACATGTCTGCGGCTAGCAGAGCAGACCGTGTTTTAATGGACTGACGGCTCTGTGGCTCACAATGCAATGTACTGGACTCGCTGAGACGGCACTCGCCAGCTGTTTATCAGGGCGCGACCTTCTGGAAGAGGGAACGTGTGCGGAGCGGCGCTGTAGACCCCGAAAAAAAAAACAGCTGGAAAGAGAGTCATTCACGCGCACACATGACCTCCAGGCGACCCGACAGGTCACGGAGGTCCAGCTGGATCCTGACCCACCACACCGAACCGAGCTCGGCCGCAGCTCAGCAGAGCTGTTTCGGCCGTTTGACGAAATCAAAAGAAGAAAAACCCTCCGTTTCCCTCCCGGAGAGCGATGCCCGCGGCGCCCCGTGCTGGTCCAGGTGATGTCAGCGCGTCTCCCCGCCGAGCCTTCGCGCAGCAAGAGAGGAAGAGGGGGGAGAGAAAGAGAGAGAGAGAGACTTCTGCACAGCGCAGAGGGAGGAAAAAAGTTGGGCAAGGCGAGGACGCAGAACTCCCTTCCCTCTCTCTTCTCTCTGCCAAAACTTTAACAATTCCTGAACACGGTGGATGTGTCCTGTTAACTCTTCGCTCTGCTGGCTGACACACTTTCTGGTGTTCATGCGGACCAGTGCGGCCAGGGATTAGTCCGTGTTTATTGGTATGACAGTCTTTTTTAATCGCATGCGGGGGCAGTTTTGCGGGAATAGCGTTCTTGCGCGCAGCATCAGGAATCTTTTGTGCTTTTATGGAGGGAAGCCCAGTTAGACATCAGATCGACGTCTTGTGTTTGTGGTGTAAAAGCGCTGTTTTTTTTCCCTGGTGGCGTTAGATGCGATTGTATTATATTCGCCTCAGGACTGCAGTGTTTGGGGTTGGAAAACATACTCTTATGAGCCTTAGCCTTTCCAAAAAAAAAAAGACCAAATCATTGTTACCTAGATCACAAAAGCTGGTGTGCAGCGACTGTGCGTTAGTTTGTTGCTGTCAGTGTCAGTGTTTGTTGCTTTAATTAGAGTTGTGCAATTGCCTGTCATCTGTTTCTTTTTTTCGCGTGTACTGGAAATGTAAAAAAAAACTAAATGATCCCCAATGCAAAGTGTTTCTTTAATTGTGCTGCAACAGTTAAGTTAAACTGAACTACGACGCTGTTGATGCGCAATTACGTTCTGAAATTGTGTTCTGGAGTTACTTATGCCACGTACAAATATTAGTACTTGGCTGAAAGCACAACCCTAAAAACGTGAAGCTAGCACACAAGCAAAATTTGCACGCTCGTTAATAACATGCCTGATTACAAGAATCAAGTTTCCAAAACTTTGTAGGCATTGTGGAGCCCTCTTGTGGTTGTGTGCGGTACAACAACGCTTCGCATGTCCAACCTCCTCACAGCTGTCTGTCCAATTTTCTTTACATTCGGCGACTTCGGCATTCAGGGAAATGGAAATAAAAATATCTGCTCCACAGGCGCGGAGAGAATGTGTGACACAGCGGGGGTCTGTGATGAGAGTTGTAAGTGCTTGATGCCGATGTGCTTCTCAGTTCTGGAGGTAGTGCAACACTGCCAACTCATCAGCCCCTTCCTGCAGAGCCCGGTGAGCTCCAGCAGATGGCGCTGTCCTTGTCCGGTGTGCCTGGGCATGAAAACCTGAAACCTGACACCTGAAGTAGGCTCCACAGCCGAAACGTTGTGTTTTCTTTCTTCTCTTCTCAGCATGGAATAAACCTATTACTTGTTCCTATGAAAAAGTGAGCTTACAAAATGTGCTCTGGTGGGAGCGCATGCATGCTAGTGTAGCACTGCCTCCTGTCAAAGTGTTTACCGAGCCGCCCCCAGCTGGTGACGTGCCTGATCAGGTCCGTTAATGAACTGAGAGCTCCGCCAGAGGAAGAACAGGTGAAGGTCTGCAGGTCACAGGGGAGACGAGCTGCCCGGTCGCACAGACTCCATGCAGCTGTTCCCGTGAAAGTGGTGCCCCAGACACGGGCTCGGCGCGCGACGCAGGAGTGTCGTTTTGCCTGACGAGCGCCTCGCTGCCCAGAGCCTTTTCCTGCCCGTGCTGCTGGTGCTCGACGCTGGTGCCTCTGCTCCCTGAGGCCAGCCGCTGGGCCGATTCCCCGGAGGACCACATGTCGGATCTTCCCGACACTGCTGCTGGGTGTGAGCTCTGCGCTCATGCTCTCCGTGGCTCCTCACAGGCCACAGGTGCATGGTCTGCCACCCCCGCGAGCCCCTGATCTCACAGCCATGTGCAAAATCCTGCGGCGCAGTCCCGTGAACCAGCAACAGGTTAACAACAACGTTCCAGTAATAATCTGTAATCCAAGGCCTTTCAGTGTTGACGACTGTTTGCCTGATGAATCACTTTCAGGGTCCAGTTGAGAGTTTCACCTCCAGCTGTTAATGTGTGTGTGTGAGGAACGAGAGTCAGGATCAGGTCATCGTGTCTCTCACCCCTCACAGCTGCAGGTGGGGTTGGGGTTGTTGAAAGAGCCCTGCACTGCGGTCACCGTGTCTCTCACCCCTGCAGGTGGGGTTGGGGTTGTTGAAAGAGCCCTGCACTGCGGTCATCGTGTCTCTCACCCCTGCAGGTAGGGTTGGGGTTGTTGAAAGAGCCCTGCACTGCGGTCATCGTGTCTCTCTCCCCTGCAGGTGGGAGCTGTGCGGCTGACACGCGGAGGAGACCATGTGGGTGACCTGGCCGGCGGTCGTCTCAGGCGTGCTCTGCCTGCTGAGCACGATGCTGTCATGTGAAGGAAGCCAGCTGTCCTCTGCTACAGGTACTAAGCTGCTCTTCTTTCTGCTGTTGAGGACAGTGCAGCAGTCGGTCAAGGGGCTCACGGGCGGGACGCCCAGCCCGCGGTCCTGCTGCCTGTGCTGCAGCTCCGCTCTCCACACCCTGGCTGGCCAGCAATCAGGAACGATCAGCTGACTTCTTTTGAATTTAAAGAGATACGTTTAAGCAGTTCCAGATTTTCTGCTTTTGTCAGAAAAAAATGAGAACCAGGAGCAAGCTCCACTCCTCTTTTTCCATTTGTAATCATGAGCAATGGGTGAAGGTCTGTTATTCAGAAGATAAATGGTTATTGTGGTGAGTGAGGATATTGCTGTGCAGATCTCACAAAAGATGTGGAAAAGAAGGACTTTCTTGTCTTTAAAAAGCAGGGGCGGAAAATTCAGTCTACTACAGATTTTCCAGGATTAGAAAAGAGGAACAGTAGTCTTTCTTACATTTTCCTTGGTCGAATGGAGGAGTTGAAGTCAGGAGCTAGCGTGTTGAAGGGCTTAGGCGTGTGGGAGCGGGGCCCTGCTCGGAGATCTGGGTGCTCTGTGGCTGGGAGGAGCCTGTGGGGAACCCCAAGAGCTGGCGTGAGGCTTGCGGACTGGCGGCCCCTCACAGGCTCGCGAGTGCCAGCGCGCCGCCTGGCCCGGTGCCCCTCAGACGCGCTTGGCGTGACCTCCTGTACGAGCTCCGAGGCGCGGGGGCTGCGGCGAGTCCCGGCAGGGGGGATTCTCTCTCAGGGAGTCACTGACTCAGTCACGGCCTCGCTGGCTCGGAGCTGAACATCTCCGTCGTCTGACTGCATGCGAAGAGAGGATTTCCCTGCCTCTGTGGCTGCTGTTCCCAAACCCATGCGCACAGTAAGGAGTATGAGTCTCCAGTCGCAGACCTTTTCAGGATTTTGAGTCAGCGTCCCCTAACTCATTCCAGCCCCGTCTCCACTTGGGAGCCCAGGCCGCTCCCGTCCTTCTGAAGTGCTAGCAGCCCTGGAAAAGTGTGGGTTTCCTGACTTCACCCCACTTTCCAGTGTGTTCCTGCAGCCGCTCCTGCACACAGGGTCGGGTGTCTATCAGGGGATATTGGCTCAAAAAAGTGTCGACTTTGTTACAGACAGGCTGCTGCTGTGTGATTTTCATGTGCCCATCGGCTGAGTACAGCTACATTTATAGTGAAGAGTACATTTGGAATGGCCCCACAACGATTTTTTAATAATTTCACGAGTTCTCACATGGGGCAGCATGCTGTGCCGTTTTCCCCCTGAAATGAAAAGCAGCCGAGTCTTGTGGATCTGCGGCGTGGCCCTGTGGGGCCCTGTGAGGCCCCGTGAGCGGGCAGGAGAGAGCCACGCGTGGCCCTGTACCGCGGCAGCGCAGCGGCGCTCGTGTTCCTGAGGCCGGCCTGTTCAGGACGAGCCCGGAGGAATCCTCCGCTTGAGGAGCTCACCCGGTCGGCCGTTCCAAGTTCTACTCGGCTCCAGCGGCCTCAGATGTCCTCCAAGCAAACATCAGGACTTGGGCACCTCTTGTGTGTCCAAGTGAGTCACTCTGACAAAGACCAGTGGGCACACGTGACAAGTTCCCTGAGCTCTCGCTGCTTCCCTCGTTCTCAGGGGCGTTAGGAGAGACCCCTCCAGCCTGAACCCCTTCCTTCTATGTGACCTCTCGCTCTGTGTGGTTCCTGCCTGTACCGTAGGGGGCGACCTTCCAGCCCTTCAGTCACACATCCCGGTTTCCTGCGTTTCCGGGCAGTGCCGGAGCTCCTGCTGCTGAGAGCACGCCTGCGTTCCTTCTCTCCCCCGACCCCCGAGTGTCTGGCGTGGGCAGGGTGTAGAAGCAGCAGGTCTCTCCTTCCCTGGGATGTAATGTGACCAACAACAGGGAGGATGTTTCTGAATCCCTCGTTTTGTCCCACTGAGCGGTGAGAACCAGGCCTCTGAAGTGTCATGTACAGCCCGTCCTATTTTTACCATCTCTTTGGCCAAAAATGTTTTTGGCTTTTGAACGGTGGAGCCAGGCTGTTAAATGCTGAGGTTTGGCACATGTATGCTCCTCCCGTTGCTGTTACCAGATCGTCTTTCTCCCTGGCGCGGATGAATAGCCTCTTGTATTCTCGTCTCCGGGCAAAAGTGGAGTTTGACAAATAGGAAGTAATAAAATCGTTTATTTTCTTGCCGCGAAACTCGTCGCAGATTTCATTAAGGGGAAAGAAAGCAGCACAGACGCACACCTTTCCTGTCGCTTACTGTGTAACAATTTTGAGGCAGCTTTCAAAAGCAACTTCTTGCCATCATCAGTACATAACTATACGCTGCTTAATTAATTGCTGAAACATGCTGGAGGCAGCTGTGGTTAGCATACTGCTGGGAGAGGCTCCCCGTTGTGTTTTAAAGCTGAGCGCTCTAGTAGGTTTGTGTGGTGGAGGGGTTGTGAGTAACGCAGAGCCTGCTCACTGCAGCTTTAAGGAGAATAACGAACAAGCAAGTCGAGCTTCCTTCTGCGCTGAAAGAGCAGCTTAGCAGCGGAAACAATGTGTTTCTTCATTCTAGTTTTCAGGATGGAGTCAAACTTTCCCTGCTCCTTTGCAGCCAGTGCACACTAATGCAGTTCCCCACTGCAGCCTCTTAAGACGAATAAACCGCTTAATAACAGAATGTTCCTTCCTGCTCTTCGAGCGGCTCGTTCTGGAGAGCCCTGCGCCCCGTGCTGCCCGGCGGGGCTGTGTGACGACCCCGCCGCTGTGCTCCGTGCAGGTCTGACCAGTCCAGCGCCCTGCCCTTCTCTCAGACAGCCGCTCCTCCCCAGTGCTTTCATCTGCAGACCCAAGCCGACGGTCAGGCAGCGTGCCGCTCCCAAACACAAGTGTGTGAGAGACGGGCCCTTGATTTCCCTTCCTCAGGTGTGATATCCTACTTAATACATGACACCTGGAAGGGTGAATGGGACCCCCCTCAGCCGCTGGGTAATTGCAGGACATAATAATAGCAGGAACAAGTAAAGGTTTATTCCAGGCTGAAAAAAGAAGAAAGTTTCGGCCGTGGAGCCTTCTTCAGGTGTGACTCCTCTTCCAAGCTGCAGCTGAGAACAGGGTGCCAGCAAGCACACATTTACTGTTGTTAGGAAGATTAAGAAACTAAGATTCTATAAAAAAAACAGCTATTTACATAAAGATTGGTCTATAACCGTATTTGCAGGGAAAAAATGGGACTGCGAACAAAAATGAATTGGCCTTTTAAAAATTAATAACATTCAGAGTCACAAAGCGTATGAAATACATGTAATAGGTTTATTCCCTGCTGAAAAGAGAAGAAAGAAAACATAACATTTTGGCCGTGGAGCCTTCCTTAGGTGTAACCTACGCATGCTGACGCAGCTGAACTATAATAATAATAATTCATTACACTTATATAGCGCTTTTGTGGACACTCCACCAACAGCACTTTCCAGGTCATGGGGATCCCTTCCAGCACTACCAGTGTGCAGCCCCACCTGGATGATGGGTAACACCCCTCATTTTGAGAAACACCCTGGGATTTTTAATGACCACACAGTCGGGACCTGACTCATTTTGCGTCTCATCTAAAGGATGGCACCTTTTTACAGTATAGTGTCCCCATCACTATACTGGGGCATCAGGACCCACACAGACTGCGGGGCAAGTGCCCCCTACTGGTTCCACTAACGCCTCTTCCAGCAGCAGCCTTAGCTTTCCTGGGGGTCTCCCGTCCAGGTACTGGCCAGGCTCACAGTGCTGAGTGTCAGTGGGCTGCCAGTTGGGAGTTCCGGGGTGATACAGCAGCTGGTTAATTACCAGTAGTAGCTCATGGATTCAGGTCCCTGCTGCTGTGTCCCAAGGACAGGGTGCTGTGCTGTACCCCAGTTACCCTAGTCATGTGAGCGGGCTGCAGTAATGGACTAGCGTGCTCTCTAGGGCAGAGGAGAGGAGTTCTCTCCCCTCGGGAGGCCGCTTGGCCCGTGTGGCTTGCAGGCCCGTGCCAGACTGCGACCCGCTGACATCGTCCCCGAGCCTGACAGCGCTGTGCTGTCTTCCCAGGTGCCCGCTGCCCCGTGCTGCAGGTGGAGGACTGGAGGTTCCAGCCCGCTGAGCTCCAGAGCAACATCACAGGTGAGCGGAGTGTGTGTGCACTGCGTGGACAGGACAGCATGTGAGAGACAGAGAGACGGGGGGGAGGAGTCTGTGTGCCACGTGGACATGTCCACTGGGAGTCTTCTTCACGCCCTTCTCTCAGGACGGGCACAGTACAGCAGGCAGCTCCACTCAGTGTAGACAGGTCATCACAAAACAGTGCATAATGACAGTACTGTATGTACAGACAAGAAACAGACTGAACAATAAATATGTGGTAGCCATAACTGAGCCACTAGTACTGCGAGGCTGTCCACACACAGGGGGAGGCCTGCGGGGAGGACTGTAGACTTACCCAGCAGACTGACTATAGTGGACAGTCGGAAGAGGGGCCCTTGGCCCTGTGAGGCCCTGAGAGGCCCTGTGAGGCATGCAGACTAGGTAGCCTGTTTCCTTCCCACAACCCTTTGTGTTAAAGAAGAGCCTCCAGTTCTCAGAATTGCCACTTACAGACAGTTTCTACTCTGAATACTAGAGGGAGCAAGGGAGCAATCAGGTTGAGTGTACAGTACTGTGCATGCAGAGGTGCAGAGTGAATGTAAATGCGTATAACAAGAGTGGCACTCTGCCAGACACCTGGGCCGGAGCCCCGGGCAGAAAACGTTTGCCTGCTGTTCCTCAGCTCTTCAAGGTTGAAAGGCAGTTGATTCCAAGCACACAAGAGGCTTGAGCACATTCAGCATCCCATTGTCCGAACGACCCCGGGTGACAGGAGGGCCTTCGCCTTACAGAGCTCATCGGGTTCTCTCTCTCCGGCCCCAAGGCCAGTACTGGAGACGAATTCCCACTCCCACCTCTACCTCCCTGAAAGGGACCGTTATTGAGACGCCAGCCAATCCTAACTGAGTGGGAAAAAGCGGAAAACATGCAGACTCCACACAGACAGGCACCCCATCTTGACATGAAAGCTAGGAGCCTGGCGGAGAGGCAGACAGCTACCCCCCATGGCATTGTGCTCACTGTGCTGCAGCCTCCTGTGCTTTCAGGGGTTCAACGGCTTTGACTCGTCTCAGAAATGTGACCCAGCATTCCTAGTGTGGCCTGCCTTTCAGATGTTACCTACTCTCCTGAAAGGAAAATTTTACAAATTGTGTTTTTTGATTTCTGGTGACTATCTCCCGATTTACTGTAGTTGTTAAAGTACCATCTGCTCCTTCGGCGCTGTCTTCAAAGAACGTCAAGGCAAAATTTGGAAAAATCAGTACTGAAAATTAAAAATATTTGGGGTGTAAAGATAAATCTGAAAATGTTTAAAGTAACTTCAGGAAGGAAAAATGTGAGAATTGTTCTGAAGAGCCAGTCCTGAGTCAGAATAAATCCTTACCGAGTGTTTGTATTTCAGCAGGCTGCTCAAAGTCAATAGACAATTGATTCCAGGCCCGCATGGAGCAGGTACCAGACTGCACAGAGAGCTGGAGTCCTCTCTTATCTTTTACAGCAAACTAGATTAATGAAGCTCAGAGGCTGAAGAGGGAGCTAAGCGGCCAGAGCTGTGCTGGAGATTAATACAGTAGAACTTGTTATCAATAAAGCGTCTCTTCAGAAGATGATTGATGTCCCTGGCTTCTCTCTCTGTTCAGGTTTCAATCTGGTGAGGAAGTTTGGGCTGCTGAAGGCCCCTGAGGTGAAGAAGATCCGGAATCCCAGAGGCCCAATCATCCTGAGGCTGGGAAACCTGCCTCTGATCCGGCCCACTGAGTAAGACTGCCTCTGATCTGTCCTACTTAGTAAGACTGCCTCTCTCTGCCTCTGATCAGCCCCACTGAGTAAGACTGGCTCTGTCTGCCTCTGATCGGGCCCAATGAGTAAGACTGCCTCTCTCTGGCTCTGATCTGGCCCACTGAGTAAGACTGCCTCTCTCTGCCTCTGATCAGCCCCATTGAGTAAGACTGGCTCTGTCTGCCTCTGATCGGGCCCAATGAGTAAGACTGCCTCTCTCTGCCTCTGATCGGGCCTACTGAGTAAGACTGCCTCTCTCTGGCTCTGATCGGGCCCACTGAGTAAGACTGCCTCTCTCTGCCTCTGATCAGGCCTAACTGCCCTCTAGTGCACAGTCACCAGATAGCAGTGTCTGCTTATAGAGAGGTAAAAGGTAGGAAAGTGTTTGATCGGCAGAGGCAGTATGTAAGGGCTGCTGTCTTCTGTGATTCAGTGGCCAGTTCTGGGACTGTACTGCTTTGGGCAGAAACTGCTCCAGGCTTGTTCTGCTCTCTTCCATTGCCTCTGGCTCTGGGAGTTGTGGTAAAAGTCTAGCAAACTGGAGCTGTTTATGGAGTTTTCCCTATAAAAATACAGTTGCTGCATTTCTTTTCAATACGAAAAAAAATCATCAGTGTTATAAAATTATAAAGCTTGGTGTGTTTGATATGGATGTGTAATCTACGATTCTGAAAGATGTATGGTACACCTCTGAAGAGTGGAGCTTTTTGATTTGACTCCCTGGTCTATATTCTCCTTATAATAACTCTAACTGCTCCGTGCTGATTGAATCTATTGATCGTTTGCAATGGCTTGCTATTTGTAGATGATTACCTCTTTCCCCCTAATTAAGTAAAAAAGTGGTTCCATTTATTAGTTATTGACAAAACACCCTGTTAAAGATCGATCCTCAGAAATGTGATCCGGCTACACAATCTGAGGAAATAAAAGAACTAACTAAAAGACATCATACCTCCATCTGTCTTCTGATTTGAGGTAGATTAAAAGTTAATTGTTTTTGGTAAAGAGCCAGATGAACATGGCTTTCAGGATGCAGTTGGTTGACTTAACTTCTAGAATGAGTGCAGTGATGAATTGTGATCTTTGCTCAATGCAGTACAAGTGTCCTGCTTGTTGGCTGTCTGCCCTGAGCTCTTCTATTTTTGCTTGTTTCTCTCATTGGCTGGCTGGATATCAAAGCCATTCCAAAGCTGCTGTATCAGTTCGCACATCTGGATTTGAAGATGCAAAAAAACACCACATCTGGACTGAAAATTAATTTTTAAATGAGTATAATTTTTAAAATATAAATCCTTCTGCCCTCTTCATGGCCACCGCCTTCGCCTCCTCAGCCGTGTCGAGTGAAATTCCTGACAACGGAGCTCTGGGTCATCATGGTGCTGCAGAGGCCTCTCCTGGAGGTCAAGCAGCTGTCCAGCACTGGAAGCGGAGGGGTTTGAAGGCTACAGAAGCAGGGACTTTCAGTTTAAGAACCGGATGGACAGCAGGGATGTACAGTATAAGCAGAGCGGCGTCTCGGGAGCACGCAGGACGTCTCCGAGCACTGCGCACCGGAAAGGACGAAGGCAGAGGGGGCTCAGAGGGCAGAGCAGTCAGCTGAGGGAGGAGGGAGCTGCGCTGAGGTTCTGCAAGGTTCATCAGTGAACCTGTCCCTCTCCTTGCACACACGCGCACAGGCCCACACACCCCCCTCTCAGTCTGCTCACCAGAACAGCATGTGGTTTCCTCCCTGAAACTGGAGCTCCTGGTATTCAGAGTTTTTTTTTTCTTTATCTTGTTTCTTTTTCCAGTGAATGCTTCTGCTATTAATTTAATATCCCAGAAGCTCAGGGCAAGGTCAGGAGCTTGGCTCTGAGAATTTGCAGTTTGTCTCCTAATGGTTTTATCACAAGTCAGGGAGGTCAGTGCGTCGCAGGGATTTCGCGCCACGTGTGGAACTGGGACAGAGCCCCCCACTCCTCCCCTCTCCTCGTCTCCCCCTTCCTCTCGCAGTCAAACCCATTATTCAGGAATTAGCCGGTCGTTTGCAGTTTCCGTTTCCCATTGGAATTCGGTAAGAATGAGTTCACTCTCTCCAGCTCCTCCAGCAAATTCGAACATCAGCACCAGAAGGAATGCGGAATTATTTTAACACCAAGGAACAAGAACAACTGCCCACGTCATCCCTGCGTTTTTTTTCACCTGTATATTTTGCAGTTCATTTTGAAGTATGAAAGATCCCGTAACAACAATGATAAACTTTAATATGGCACCGTTAACAGTAATTGTTTCAAAGCACTGTTGTTTCTGTATGTGTGCAGAGCATTTGTTTTCAAAAAAACTAGAGAATACCCACAGAAAACCAAAATACTGTACTTCTATCCTGAATTCGGTGTTTAAATGGCATAAAAATCTCCATCTCTCTGAGCAGTTCTCTCTAATGTGTGAGCCCCCTCTGACCACGATACTCTTGCCTTTGTGAAAACGAGATCTCTGGACTTTGCTCACCTGTTTGGGGATAGAGATCATTCTCTGCTTGGCCCTTTGCTTTTGTGCACAGCAAGTTGGAACAGGACTCCCTCTGGCCTCTTGCTGTCTGTGTGTATCTTGGGCAACGAAGAGGAAAGTGCTCTTTGTTTAGACTGGATTGTGTCTGTGAAGGCTGTGCCGGGCAGCTGCGCTCTTCATTTCCTCTGCACCGGCTCTCCAGCGTGATAAATCACTGCCTTGCAGGCCCAGACTAGTCCCACACATACAGACTCTTACCTGAGCCTACAAGCTGAGGTGCCTTTGAAAGCCAGTCTTCCTGAACGCTTGTTTCTTGTTGCTTGTCTAGGTTAAATGTAAACAGATAATCTTTTGGGTAAAACATGCAGTATCTGTGTGGTTTCATGTTTTCCTGGCTTGGCATGGATCTCCACTAATTTTTCCCAATGTCTTTTACAGTTGTTCATAATTTGGGTTTTAGTAAGTCACCAGTAGATCACTAGTATGGCACTAATAATTTACTAATATGTCACCAGTAGTTCACTAATATATCACTGAGTAGTTTGCTAGTCAGTCACCAGCAGCTCATGAGTACTTCTTTAGTAGTTTATTAGTCACCAGTAGATCACTAGAATGTGACCAGCAGCTCACGAGCTCATCATTAGTAGTTCACCGTCATTAGCAGTTCACTAGCCAGTCTCCAGTACACCAGTGTAATAGTGTATCATTAACAGTTCACTATCATTAGCAGTTCACTTGTCTGTGTGTCTCTTGCCCCCAGACAGGTGTTCCCCCGTGGACTGCCGGAGGAGTTCACACTGGTCATCACTCTGCTGCTGAAGAAGAAGACAGCAAGAGAAAACGTCTACCTCTTCCAGATCTCCGACCCCCAGGGGTACCCGCAGGTACAGCTCGGGGCAAAGCTCAGGACAGGCACGGCTGCGAGCCTCCTCTTCGGGCACGGGGGGGTCCCGCTGTCTCTCTGCGCTTCTCAGCTCTGCCCTCGCACCCCGTCTCTCCGGGCAGCTCTCTCTGGACCTGAACGGGCCGGACCGGACCCTGTCCCTGCGGGCACAGGCGCGGGAGCACCAGGGGGACGGGTTCGTGGGCTGCACGTTCAGCGGCGAGGGTGTGGCTTCGCTCTTCAACTTCCGCTGGCACAAGGTGGCCCTGAGCGTCCGGGCCGGCGCCGCCGCCCTCTATGTGGACTGCAGCTCCATCGAGACCAAGCCCCTGGACGACAGGCGGGTGGTGGAGCCTCACGGACACACCCTCCTGGGGATCCGCGCCTCTGACGGGGCAGCGGCAGAGGTGGGTCTGGGGGTCAGAGAGCTGACTGTCCACTGGGCTGTAGAGGGGATACAGACAGGGCTGTGTGTGGCGCAGTCCTGAGCCCTCTCTCGCTCTCTCTCACTCCCCCTGTAGTTTGATATCCAGCAGATGACGGTGTACTGTCACCCTGGCCTGGCCATCCAGGAGTCGTGCTGTGAGATTCCTGGCGCTCGGGTAAGAGGTGCTGCACGCAGATCCCAGGAAACCAAGTCTTCCTTCCGATTCCCTGTTCCCCATTCCCGTTCCCCATTCCCAGCCTCGGCGTGTTCCAGAGCTGTGCTGCAGGACAGCAAGAGCTCCAGCTGTGCAGGTCCTGTGACTGCACCCCAGTGAGTGGCCTTTGCGGGAGACACACTGCTGTGCTTCTGCAGTCCTGCTCGTTGTCATCTCTGAGCTTGCTGTTGCCGGATAATTGTCGACTGCGGACTCGACTGCTCCAGCTGTGGAGCGGATTTGCAGATGCTGGAAGAAAGAGGAATATCGTCTGAAGGGTGGGTATGGTGACCCCATGTCTGTCCCTGGCAGTGCCCCCCTGACACCCCAAAAAGCCGGCGTGCCGCAGAGAGCAGCCCGCGGTCCAACCTGGTGGAGGTGGTGCCACAGCCGGAGGGCAAGGTGTACACACGCTGCTTCTGTCTAGAGGAGGGGCCCGGGGACACACAGGTGAGCCTGGGCAGCGCAGGGGGGCTGTGTCACTGGGGGAGTGGGGTGTAGTTGCGGGTGTGGGGAGCAGTGGGGTGTAGTTGCAGGTGTGGGGGAGCAGTAGGGCGTAGTTGCGGGTGTGGGGGAGCTATGGGAATGTGGGGTGTACTGGGTTGTACAACGGCCCTCCCTAGATAATAGTCCTGCAGATGTTGGTGTATTTTTAGTGCTGTGATTATAGTTTTTTACTCAAATATTCAATAAGGAAGTTCAGTAAAAATAATAATTGTTTTAAGAAAAAAGCTTAGATTCAAAAATACTGTTGACATATAAACAAGAAAGAAAACGATCCAGTGGAAGTTTCAGGAGGCGTGTCAGGAATGCTGTGTCCCTGAGGTATTCCCTGGGGAGCTGTGGGAGAGATCTGGATTGGGAGAGCAGGGGGGTGACGGACGGGGAGCAGGACAGGTCAGGGTGCACGAGGGGCGAGGGGGGCGCAGACGGGGCTTACTGACACGTTACATGTGACACGTTACATACACGCTAATATACAGGACATCCGAACATGTAGGAGCACCTAGGGTTTTAGAAGCATTTTCGTGTTGTGGCTTCTCAAAGACTGTATTTCATACAGCTGCACTGATGAGGGTTTAATTCTGTCCATGTGCACCATCGCTGATCACGCTTACTGGGAATACTGGGAGCTGATGGGCACTACTGTACAGCGGCTCTGTCCCAGACAGGGTTTGGGGACCACCAGGCGCACCTGTCCCTCCTGAAGCGGGGTCCCGTACCCCGTCTTTTCCGCTAAGCTCCTGCTCGGACAGCTCCTCTGCTCCTTCAGAAGCGCCCACGTCAGCTTGACCTCCCAGCTCGGCTCTCCCATCGGAAAGGAAGAAATGCCTTTTCCTTCCCTGCCAGGACGGCTTGTTCCTTTTTCTTTTTTTGCCTTTTCCGGGACTGTGGCGATGTTGGGATTTCTGGCTCTGGCAGTGCTGTTCTCCCAGGCTGAAGCACTCGATACAAGTCTTTCCAGCCCAGTCCTCTGGCTCTGCCAGATCTGCATGCAGCAGGATTTTGGGAATGAGCTGCGACAGACATAAGAGGAACTCTCTAAGGAGCCAGATTTTATTTTCCCCATTTTCCAGAAACCTTTGGAAGTTTTTTTTTCTTGCTTTTGCCCTGTCTGCTTTATCTGAGGCTCTCTGTCTGTGTGTTTTCTGGGCTGCATCACTCACTCCTTCCTGTTTTCCCTGATGCTCTGCTGGGGACTTGTGGTTCTGAGCTGGCTGAAGGATTGTTGGAGCGTTCCTGTGCTTCAGATGAGCGCTATTGTTTCCCCTGCAGCTGCTGAGGCGAGCGCAGGCCGGCGCTGTGAGAGAGTTTATCCGCAGACAGACGGGCCCTGATGTAAATCCATTCAATATGTGCAGCACACCACTAACCACATGATAATCTCTCATGAGCCGCCTGCAAAGTTTAACCCTCACAGAGCACCGAAGAGTGCAAGGCCCCTTTCGCTGACAACATGATCTTCTTCATCCTCAGAGAAATTAATGTACTGTAGCATGCACTTGATAAAGGTACCGCAATCTAAAAATAACATGCTCTTCTCTTTTCATCTTCTAATAATTCCTAAGGGAATTTAGAGAATTCAGAATGGTTTACGCAATCTGACTTTTTAACGTTCTTATATTATCTTTTCCTCCACCTTTTTAATGCTTAAAAAATGACATACATCCCTCGATTCATTTTCTCTGTGGCGAAGCGTGTGTAATACCTGCTCCTCAGTATCCGTTTCCGTCCCGGTTCCGGAGAGATTTCCGTTGCAGCGATGGTGTGGCCTGGCCACAGATCCCCCTGGTGCTTGCAGACCAGCGAGGATTTTCTAGCTCTCCATGTGCTGTAGTCCTTTGATGATTCAGTATTGCGGACTGCTGCTCCCATTTCTGTTACCTGCCTTCTGCTTTAGCTTTTCATCGCACCTGTATTAATGAGTAATCACTGACTGTCCTCTTCCTGGGCGGTTACCCAGGGCAGACTGGCTGTCTGCACGTTAAGCTGTTATGTGTGTGTTGCCATCCTGCACGCAGGGCACAGTGCCCTCTGGCAGCCCGGGGGGTGTCAGGGCAGGGGGCCCGCTTGCAGCCCGAGCTGGCACTGCTCCATACGCCACTTCAAGCGTGCACAGCAGGGCCAGAGCGCGCCCGCTGGCGGCAGCCATGTGACCTGCCGGGAGCCGGAGGCTGGGAAGGCATGTGCGCACACGCTGGAAACTTAATCGCGCATCACACCTCCCGAGGAGAGCATTGTGTTTCTTCTCTGCCTCTGGACGTGGATTTCGTAATGCGAGCCAGCTGTGAGCCTGGTTTCTGCCCCGCTGTCAGTCTGCGCTCCCAGGTGCCTTGGTCGGAGCTCCAGAGTGGGATAACAGGCCCCTCCATGTGTGCTGGGCTCCGCCCTTCATTGTGGGGGCTGTCCCTGCCTCCCAGGATGCCACAGTGCTGGAGTGCAGGGTCAGCGTGGAGAACAGGAGCAGATCCCCTGGCCCTTCTCACACACGCCCACGCCTGCCCTGACTCTCCAGAGCACCTGGCCTACTCCGTTCTCACTCCATCTGTCCCTCTCCCTGCTGTCTCTCTCACTGCCCATCGTCCCCAGTCGCTGTCTCTCTCTCTCACTGCTGTCTCTCTCACTGCCCATCGTGCCCAGTCGCTGTCTCTCTCACTGCCTGTCGTCCCCAGTC